CGCCAAGCCCCGGCGACCGGCCGCAACACCCACAGCGACCGCACCACCCAGGAAAACACTCAGGCGGCCCCGCCCCCGGCCGGGGCCCATGCGCATCCGCCGCGAACCGGCCACGAGCGCCGCGGGACCCCCCCAAAACGCCCCCCTGGCCAAAAGCGCAGCCCCACCCCACCAAGACCGATGCCAACAGCGCGCAACGAAACACACCGCGCACAGAAACAGCCCGAGAGCAGAAAAGCCGCCCGGCGCAAAACCGCAAGAAGAGCAGACCTGTTCATTTCTAAAAACCGGATAAGCCAGGCAGGAATCCAGACATAGTAAAGCACGTCCTGTATATTTCAAAATGAGAGAAGATGAAAGGATGGATCCTACATACATTGAGTGTTAAGAGCAGCACAGCAGCTTTTTTGTAGTGGAAGATGGAGTAAATATGAAAAGCAGCATGCTTATAGCTTTCCTATAACAAGTGGAATGAACCTAAAAAAACAGAAATAATTGAGGGATAGTCACAATAATGAACTAATAAGGCAATATCTTAAAAGAATAAAGATCAAAGATGAATAAAAGTCTAGAAAAACCACCAAAAACCTCCAAGAGATAAATCTACAAACACCAATTATGACTAAAGCAGCTGATACTATCTGTCACTGACATAAATTAGGATTTCTTTCTTTTTTTTGCCTTTCTTTGACTTTTTGGAGCTTCTCCCAGTTTATATGGCCACTAATTATTAATTGTGTTTTAACCTTGTAGAGACATATCCTTGATGTTGTGGCTTACCTGGGGTGTTATCAACTTCTAGAGAGTTTCTGTCAAGAACCCTAACAGAAAAATATTTAAGAAATTTGGACTAAAACAAACAGCGATCTGTTTAGAGAAACTAAATTAGATATTTTATAAAATTCACTAGATTTAATGTTTGCTTTGCTTCTCCAACCAGACAAACCTTGTATCCAAATATATCCATATAATAAACACTGTTTAAATTGGAAGTGAGTGAAGCCTGTATGAATGTATAAGAATGTTATCCATTAAACCTTAAAGCTCATTCCCTTTATGCTGTTTGTTATTTGGTTTTAGATGATGAGGACAACACAACAGAGGACCTTGGTGAAACAAATGAAGAAGATGATACTTCCACCAAACAGCACTTCCACACTGGCTCGTTGTGCAGCGTTTGCTCCATCTGTGAGGTACAGTCCCCAGAGGGGAGGGAAGACCCCTTGTTTATAAATCTATACAAATGTATGTTTAGTAACACATTATGTCTTCACATTTTTATTCCCAAGCTGTTGACTTATATTTATAACATATTTTCTCTTTTTTACTGTTCGTTTTTGGCTTTGTTTCTTGTACTCCCTGTTAATCTGGCATGGTTGTTTAGGCTTTTCAAATATCACCCCTGAATCATTCATTCATAATAAAGACTCATCAAGCTGAGTCTGGATTAATAATTATTAGGAGTGAATTTTTATTTTATTTAAGAAAAATTCAAACAGTCCAAACTAGCAATAATATATTTTGTTATTATAGTGATTTAGAAATGAATAGGACAATTTCCAAAGTTATTATTTTAAAACCTAGTGCAGTGATTTAGAAACTTCAGTACAGTACATTTTCTGGTGGGGGCTACAGCTTACTAATTGATGATTGATTTTTTTTTCATTTATTTAGTTCCAGAGATAAAAAAGACCATTTCAAAAATAAAAAAACTATTTAGGATAAAAGTAGGCACCAGTTTAGCTGAGCAATGTTTTGACAGGAAGTGCCCTCTAATGTCTCTGCAATTACTGAAAAGCGTTGTGTTATAGATTGGATGTCCAGTAAGTCCAGGCCTGAGTTCATAAAACAACCTTTTCCTTGTAGTTTTGTGACAGAAACAAAGACTCCTCTCTTTTCTGTGTTAAGCTTGAGGATGTTTGGACAAAGTGACTCAATGACTGCAGTGGACTTTAGTCATGGGTTCTTCACAAACCCACAATTCAAGGACACAATGAAAAATAGTTCTACTATAGATCCTTTAAGCCCCTTTTCATTTTCCAGATTTAGAAAATGTAATCTCCATGAAAAGACAGTTTATATATACCTTAAAGAATAAGATGAAAATCCTATTTATAAATGGATTTAATATAGCGTTACTTCCTCCTCCTTTATGACAAAACAGACACTGCTATGAGTTTTAGGTTACGTAAAACATGCCTGAGGAAAAACAAAAATAATTTGGCTGCTAGACCATTATTTTTAAAGTTATATAGAGAAACTTTAAAGTGACTACAGCAGAATAGGAGCTGAAGTTACAAATCTGTCATTACATTGAATCCTTTTCATATACGGCTGAAAATACGCACATACCAAAACCCAAAAACACATTGTTTTGGTCATTTTGCCTTTTTGGCATCAAACAACTGAAAAGTTTCAATGACCTCTATCCAAATTATTCATAAGATGCTCTTTTTGATTTAATATGAATTTAGATTAAACTGATTCGATGCTGTCACATCATTCGCACATTTTGACCTGCAACTGCTGACCTTAACAATAATAACTAAGAATTAAAATACGGAAATGCATGGTTAAAGTTCGAAACTCTGAAACGATGGCAAGTTTTTTTTGTTTTCCCTGTAAAAAGCTGAAATGCAGAAAGTTGTCTAAAATGTTAAGTACAACCTAAGATACAGTTGGATCTGCCACAGCAAACTATGACAAATTAAGTGTGGCAATAACAAATGTCATTTGTTAAAANTCTAAAATGTTAAGTACAACCTAAGATACAGTTGGATCTGCCACAGCAAACTATGACAAATTAAGTGTGGCAATAACAAATGTCATTTGTTAAAAAAACTCACTAATTGTAGTCTAGACCATGGGTCACAATAGCCTGGGTGCCATTCCGAACTTAGTCCCGCCCACAATGTTTGAGGTCGGGAAGTTCGGTCTGGAATTGCTCAATAGTAGCGCCAGTATGCTAGCACAATATCTGGCGGGCCAATCAAATTGTCAGGGTGGGATTTATACGATGATGGACAGATTATCAACAGTAACGTAATCAACCACGTCACCAAAGCGCGCTTGGGTGACAACAACAATGGCTGCCGCTGGAGAGTTGAAGTGTGTAGATTCTGCTATTAGGTCTGTTCTAGAAGATATCGACAGCAAATTAATTTTAAAAGAGGAACAGAGATACTCGATCAAGGCTCCTCTTCTTATTCTAGGCGTGCAACTGCACGCTTTGATTTTTGTTGACAATAACTATGCGTCGCTTAACATACGTCACGCACTCCGTTGCTCTTATTGGTTATAATCACAGCTCTATGGAGCAGTATCAGACTCATATTCTGACTAGAATTGAGTAGGACTACGTCAGGCTAGGGTCACAAACCTTTTTAAGGCAAATAGCTACTTCATGGGCACTGAGTCATAGGAAGGGCTACCAATGCTGACCTATGAACTGGAGGGATCAGCTTTCACTTTTACTTCATACATAATAATCATATTTTTATCGTTCCTTTTAACTCCTAATTTTCTTTTATGATATTGTCATGTCTCTATAAATACTTAAATGCTCTGCATGATTACAAAGAGGAAAATCTATATAAAGCATTAGAAATGGAGGGCAACAGAACAAAATAAAATTTCAATCTTATCCCATTTGTGAGTTGTGCTGTTTTCAGAAGATGCTGTGGGCACCCCATGGTGCCCCTGAGGGCCCCTTGGTGCCCAACACGTTGGTGGCCCCTGCTCTAGTCAGTGTATAAACTAAATAGACCCACCATTACTATGGTTTTATCAAGAAACAACTTCATGTTTTATGGTATTTTATTTNTCTAGTCAGTGTATAAACTAAATAGACCCACCATTACTATGGTTTTATCAAGAAACAACTTCATGTTTTATGGTATTTTATTTGTCCACATTTATCTTGTAAATACTTAACTCTAAAATCTTTTCTGATTTTAGTTCCTAAGTACAACCTGTGGTTATGGTCTTAGAACCATGGGTCTTGTTTTATATAAGGGGAATCATATGAATTAGACAGATTATAAAGCTTTTGTAAATGCTGACTTTCACTGTTAGACTCCTTCTGGTGACCAATGAATCACTGCTTATTTTCTACGTTTAACCATCTGTTTCTTTCAGTATTGTAACGAACAGTGTGACAAGTGTCCATGTGCAGAGGGAGATGAGTCTGCTCACTGTGAGCATTGTGAGGTAAGCTGCTATCACTTTAAAGACTCTGTGGTAGATTTCTGTTTTACAGCTTTCCTTTCATGTGAACCTTTTGTTAATTTTCCAGGACTGCTCATCCTGCTACATTTGCCCCATTCTGTGTGATACAGTTTGCACACCAGGTAAATGATCATAAAACATACTCATACTTTTAACTGTTCATTTTAAAATTTGTATACAAAATTTTACTTTGTTCCATACTTCCTAGGCGGTTTCGTTGATGAACTAACTGGATCCATCTTTAAGTAAGTGTAATGACGTCCTGCAATGTAAACTCACATTATACTCATAGATATCTGATTTTAATGCCTTAAATTGTGTTGTTGTTTTTTTTGTTATACAGGTCTGTTTCTTCTCTACTCTGAGCAGAATAACTTTAGCATCAAAACAAAAACATTACATACAACAGGATCTTGTCTTCAGTCATTGTTTATATTTTAATAAAGCTTTAATGTTATTAGACCATTTAATGCTATTTAATTTTACAGCCTAGACTTGAAGTTGTAGCTGGGGGGACAGCTTTTGAGGTTCATTGTATTTTTATGAGGTTTACTGTAAAAAAAAAGAAGAAAAAAAACAGAAAAGAGAACTCATTTCATGTTGGAGAAAATTATAAATAACAGGAAAATATAAATTGCAGACAGCCGCTTCAGTGTCTACAACTTTAAAGCAAAGTTTAAAATGTAACCTCACTGTCTTGTTTCATTATGGATTAACTGTGAAAATCCACATTTTTGCCTCGTAACAGTCAGATCCCATTTTTAAGATGAGAGTCCCCTAATGTTAAAGATGGCTCTTGCCCAGAGTGTTAACCAAATCTTTGGATTGGGGGGCGATTTTTTGTCTCATACAGCCATGTAGGTTTGAAAAGCTTTTTCCATTAACAAAACAGTTTTTTTAATCAATTGTCCGATATCAAAATGTGCTTGATGATCAGAAAATGTTAACCATGACACTAAGGCCCCGTCCACACGAAGCCGAACCCTGGCCTAAACGCACAAATTTTTCACCAAACCAGCCTCTCATCCATACGAGGGTCTGTAAACGATCTTTTTTTTATTCAGCCTTCAGAGTGGGAAGATTTTGAAACGCCGTTTTTGCGTTTCCATCTTTAAGCTCTAACCGCATTTTTTTTTTTTACACGCATGCGTCATAACGTCGCCTCTAAACACGCATGCGCGACACAGTATCACAACAACAATGGCGCCGTACTGTGTTGAATGGTTGCTGCTCATGCTACTCACCCTGCTGTCGGGCTTACAACAGAATCTTCTTCTTCTGGAATATCTCCAGGAAGAACAGAGCAATATCGACGACATAGTTCAGCACCTGAATTTGACTAAACCACGAAAATGGACCCGCAGGCCAACCATGTATAAATATTAGTGCGCATGCCCAACATTTCGTCGCCTATTTTAGCTTTGGCACGACAGCGCCACTTACAGGCCTGGCATACATTTTGCAGCGTTTTCATGCATTCGTGTGGACGATCACATTTATTATACCTCTCCGTCTTTACGACAAACGTTCTGGAAAATATTAGCGTTTCGTGTTCGTTTTGACTTCGTGTGGACGGGGCCTAAAACAGAAATCTGTTGGAGGGCGTAATTCCAGACTTCTGCATGTAAAGCCGGGCATATACTGTACGATTTTTTTTTTTGCTCTTTTCGGGCCGACTTTCCAGTTTTGCGAGAATTTTTCGATGGGGGCGACTTTCAGCCTGATCGTGCGTCGTGCTTCTTGTAGTGTACAGGGAGTAATGAGGGGCAATTAGCCTCTCACGACCACCTCCTAATCAGGATTTGTGAGGTCTGGGGAATCATGCGCAAACAAGGATTATTTTTCTTCTTCCTCTTAAATACAGTTAAATACAAATGGAGTTCTTTCTGTAAAATTGACAGACCGTAGTAGCCACGTTTGCTCAGCCATGTCTTTGTCCAAATACCCTTTTCTTTTTAAGGCTTTCAGCACACAAAACTGCACAAGCTGCCAAGGCAGCACGTTTCGCTCTAGTGAGCATCATATTGCTCTTCTACTCGTTTGGCTTCTGGATAGATGAGTCCAAGTAGCGCCATCTCACTGCGGAGCGGATTCCGACGTGGTTATTAGACGTAGAGTGTGAGCAAGTGGATCCCATCAGCACAGTGAGAACATGCACCGTGAGCTGTGAACTCACACTGTACAACAAAGCCCTGCGATTTCGTCGTACAGTGTGAGCTGTACCTGTGTGCAACAATTGGAAAAAAACACACAGTGTATGCCCGGTTTAAGATAACTGATCTTATTGTTGTAAGTTCAGATGAAAAACAGTTGTGAATGCAGTGAATATATGAAAAACCAATTTCTTTTAAATAGAAAATATTAAACAATTAAGCCTCTCTAAATAAGACCTACTGAAATTATGGACAATTGTATTTTATTTGGATATTTGTAAGAAAGACGTTTGTAGATGTCTGAGCAATACAATTCTGAGTTTACTTTTCTGTCATATGTGGAGCCAGTTTATATATTGTATTACAGAGAATGTTGGACTAAACAGTTAATACTATGTTTTGATATATACTGTATTTTAATAAAGACCCTAGTACATGTGGTTTAAACTGACATGATTATTCAAGATCTAACTACGTATGACAAGAAAAATAAACACTTTAGAGATCGGCTTGTGTGTCTCATTTTTGCTTTAAATTGTTTTATTTCATTTTTTCGACGATGAAGACTGGTCTTAAGATCCCATTTTCTAAATTCTTAGCCTGAACCATTTTTTTAACCACATTTTTCCTTGTTCTCAGATGTGTTGGACTTGATTTTTTTTCTCCAGGCAAGTTAAGACCTGCTGCAAAACTTTTCTTTTTTAGATTGACAGCGTAAAACTGAATGCTTTTTAACACAGCCAATTATCTTATTTTAAATGTGATAGTTCCTGTGCTACGAAATTTGACCCTATAAACGGATAATGAGAAGATGTGAGATGTTTTTTTTTTTTTTTACATGGATATATTTCTGTCTGTACTCTGTCTCGGGAAACTAATCTTGTCTGCTGTTACAAAAAGGCAACATAATAATATACTTTAGTAATAAAATATGAATAAATTTACCCAACCTAAATTCTATAGATTTTCTTTAACAGTCTACAAACACTTGGACCTCAAAACAGAGAGGTCAGGGGCTGTTTCAGCTTTATTAATCTATTCACTTTATGAATCTTTAAGAATTAATTGTTTTACATCTGCCCCTTTAACTGGCTATATATATTCTAAATTATGGTTGTTTATAGGAATCAACATCCCATTTCCCCTAAAAGTATGGTCTTTATTATACTTTGAATGTAAAGTTGACTGATTGCAGGAATGTAGTTGATTTTTTCTTATATGCAAATTTTGTCCACCAGGGTGAGAAAAATCTGCCTGTTTAACCAGTTAGTCTGGAACTTTATTAGATGAGTTAACGAGTTCACCTTTACAACAGAAGTTACTATAAACATTCCAAGCAACACCTACAAGTTTAGGATTACAGTAATGGTACTGAAAGATGTTTGCAGCACCTGATCACACTCTCTCTGAAGGCCTCAGCCTTGGTGGTGGTTTCGTGTCGGTTCAGTGGTCGTGACAATAACACTCCTTTGACCTTCGTTAGAAATGCTTCTTTTCCACCCTATCTGTCATGTGAATAATCCTCAAGTTAATAACATAAGTTGAGTATGAAAAAGTATATGTTTTTGCATAGAATCCCTTATTGATGCAAAAGTTTTAGCTTTCTTTTTTTGTTTTTGTATGTTTCTGTTCTACACTATTTTCACTAGTTGGTGTGTGTTTCTGAGTATTAAGTGGGACAGGAGGTGGTGCAGGAGGAGTGGTTCCCGTGATTTCCAGAAATGAAAAACTGCCTCTGGTTACTATGTAAAAATACCTAAAGGCTCTACATCTAAATTTAGCTTTTCAGTATAATAAATTTCTGATTTGTGACTCACTACTCAAAATAAACTACTTGAATTTCATTGGGTTTTTTTTGTTAACATAATTTCTATGTTTTCTCTGATCTTGTAGGACTGCTGGTGCTTTTTCACGCTGAGCTCTTTCACATTTAAACACATGATTGACAAGCTTGACAAAGTCAGAGACAAAGTTACAAAACATACAAATCAATCACACAAAACATTTTCTTTGACCTGTTTTTTTAATGATAATTCCTCACCAATAATGAGACATCTGTTTAAATTATTTAGATAGAGTTAGACAAATATTTCAGATATTGGGGAGGTGGGGGTTGGGTTGGTTTGGGCATCTTTACAGGAAGTAAACTCGACCAAAACACGGGTGCAGGTCTGTGCGGGGCTTGTGCAAAGGAAAAACAAAGGTTCCTCTTTGGTCATCAGAGACAAGCCGGTAAAACGGAAAAAAATGTGTTTGTCCTTGTCTTGGAAGAAAGAGTCTGTAAGGAAAGAAATGTGTATTTTAATGATAATTATAGAGTAAAAATATGGTACTCTCCATATCAATAGCCGAGATAACTTTCAGCGTTAACGCTGGATCGTTAGGAACATCCCCTCCCTCATTTCCCTGCAACTAAATGATTTAAGTTGTTTAACTTTATCCCCTATGATTGCTGTTCCGTCGAAGGATGAACACAAAGAGGACTAATGAGGTGTGGCTAAGCATGAGTGAGGACACTGGGGGAAGGTCAAAAAAACGGTTTATTAAGCACAATGATGAGGGTACAAACATGGGAAAACTTACATTAAACAGAAGTTGGTAGAACAACTGCCCTTACCACACCTAATTATTTTCATCTTTATCTGGTAAACAGAAAGGGAAATCTAGACAATACAGGTTTAAAAGTACATTAAAGGGATTTCTATTATATATTAGGGTAGATAATGTCTCAGCATAATAAAAATAGAAGCAGGAACTGCCTGCAAGCATCTCTTCAGCTCAATTATTAACGTCTAATGCAACGTGTTTAATAAATGCGAATACAAAGTTTCAGTAAGTCAAACAAATGAGCGCCTGTCAAAGGAAGCAGTGAGTTTACTACATTTCTCTTTCATAGATATACTATAGAAAGTGTGAGCATGTTAGTTTTTGTTTTATAATTGCAATGAAGGGTTTTCCTTTAATTTAAAAGGAACAGTTATGTAAACTAATGCCCCTAATTCCTTTTAAAGAGATTTCTTTATACTGTGTATAAATGTCACACAGAGCACTTTGTCTTATGTCACTGCATTCTGCAGCAAACACTCTTTCAATGGTTTGTGTTATTTTCTGCAGTATCAGTTTGCAAACTTACGTGTAAATTAAAAGCTTAACATGACCGCCCTCCGTGTGCAGGATATATATTGTTTCAGATAATTAACAGGGTGTTGTCCTTTGACCGAAGCTAAGGTATTTGTGTCTTTTGTCACATGTGTCTTATGTAAAAAAGAAATTTTCCCCAGGGTAACTAGAAAGGAGTTATCAAACACTTATTCCTCTGGTATGCTGTCAGTTTAGCCTCAATCAACAATTTACAGATTAACAAGCATGATGGTGTGTATCTGTCAGCAGCACTTAATAAACGCTATTAAAATACATTTTAACTGATCCAGGAATGAAAAATAAAGTAGGCAAACATTAAGCTTTTAGACTGGCCTTTTATTTCTAAAAATAATTCAGGAGTGAGTCTGTGCCAGGGTTAAATGTCTTCTCTGTTCTACCAAGGCAATAGTCAAACACGTTTAGGCTTATGCCAGAGGCCGATTAATGTCAAAAGGAATTTTGTGAACCTCGTTATGTTTACCACCTGTAGTCTGATCAGCTAATAAACCAGTCATCATCCAGCATCAAGAAGCGATAATCCCTGAAAATGTGTTCCTTCCTAATTGTCCATTTTACAAAGTCGTTTCTACAGACAAACAATCCACCGGCACCATTACCAAGGTGGTTCAACATTATCAAAATATTTACAGCAATCCGTAGGAATTCCTCACACCTTGTTAGATTCATATATTTATCTGTGGTTTAATTCACCCCAATGCTCACCTTAGAGAGAAATGTGATGGTGAGGAAACATTTAAATGTTGTGCAAATTTTCAATTTGAATTTAAGCTTGTTAATCTTTATTTAATTTTTTTTTTTTACTTTGGGTGATAGGACAGCATATATCTCATGTTTCAGATTAGACAGTTAATCTATGATTAAAGTTTAAAATAAAGTTAAATGAAAAGTCTGAGAAATTATGATACAATCTGGCTTCAGATTCCCACGTCGGCAAACATATGTGGGCAATTTCCTGTCTCAAAATATCAGAATCAGAACCAAGTTTATTACCGTGTAGGTTTTCACTTAAAAGAATTTTGACTTGGTATTGATGTTGCAGACAAAATAGATATATATATATACAGAATACAGAATCTATAGCTATATACAATGTAAAACATTTAATAAACTATATACAATTGACTTTGTGGCTGGGATGCAAGGGATCAGCCAAAATCTTCCCTGCAAGCCTCAGAGTCCTGGAGGCATACAGATCCTGGAGAGATGGAAGATTGCAGCCAAACACTTTCTCTGCAGACCAGACGGCACACTGCAGTATGCCCTTGTCTTGACTTGACACTTACCTAAGGTTTAAACAGAGAGAAACATCGGGAAGAAAGGGATGTGAGCGAATGCTTTAACCTTATAAGATGGTTAGTGCAAGACCATGAGCTCTGAGTAGTGTGGAAATGAATCTTCCTTCGACTTAAATGGAGAAAAATGTGGATTGTGTCAGAACAGAAAGATTAAGGATTATGGAACCACAAATGTAGCCTATATAACAACTAATAAAAAAATTAAGTTTGATACAATCGTTAAACCTTAAAACAGATGGTCAATGGCAGAAGAAGACCCCTGGTGGTCTTTTTGTTATATCAAACGACGAAACTGGGAGAAAAGAATTATACAGGATCATCTGTATTGTGTCAGTTATAAAAAAAATAAAACTGGTATGAAGAGTCTCAAATGTGTTCTGATATTGAGATGGCAGGTTTTCCTTACTACCATCTGAATGTTATACTTATAGCACATCCTGCCAAAGTTCTAGAGATGACCATGATGATCCATTTATGACCACAAGGTATAATCTGCTTTTTATAAAGGGGCTGAAACACCATTTTTAATTTGGGGTTCAGTTCTGTGGAGAAATAACAAAAACCCATCTTGACCTCAGGACTGTTCTGTAGTTGAAATATGAATGCAAATTAGAACAGATAATTTTTGTTCTAAATAGATCTATTTAGAAAACAGTTGTTCGTGTTTCCTGCATCAGGGTTCAGTGTTTTGTACACAAGGTAGGCCCCTCCTAGAGGAGCACTGTCCATATATTTATCATGACCTTTTTTAGAGCAGTTTTCACCCTTTCTTTTTTTGTTGATAAAAGACCCTTTTCTGATGGATGCTAGTTTTTGAGCTGACATATTCCTTTTATTCACTTTGAAGACACCTTGTTGTGTTAGGATCTTCAAACTAAGGTTAGTGAAATACTTCAGGATCTAAAAAATGTGAGAACCCCCACCCCCAAAAATAGGATAAAATGTTTGGTGCATTTTGGTTAAAACTGAGAGGAGATGGATAAAACATGCTTGCCTCTAAACGACACGTTTGCTAATTATTTCTCATCAAAATATTATTCTCCCCTTGAAGATGTATCTTCTCAGGTTGATGCTATGTCTGACTTTGGTGGCTCTAGTAAAACGTAAGTATTTTTGGAAATATTTCTTAGGAATATTACATCCGTTTGTGTTCTTGTCTTTCTTTAACTTCATATAAATTGTATGATGATTGAGCAGACGCGGGAGCACTTCCGTTACATGTGGATTTTAGTTTTAGTTATGAATAAAGAGTAATGTATATAATTCAGTTCAACACAGATATTGATATTTATGTCTTCTATTTTCCTGCTTTAGCCAGTGAATGGTGCTATACTGGTTGTGGTAAGTAAACAATGGTTTCTGCTTTTTTTTTGTAAATATACATAGTGATACATACTTCTGTGTTCTTTTGCAGCACTAAATGTATCACTGTCTTCCACAGATCACTCACCTTCCAACTGGAAAGAAATAGAAGGATCTGACTGTAAAAGTGAAAATCCTCACCAATCTCCTATCGGTATTGTCACAAGCAATGTTACCATTGACCAAAACCTGAACAATTTCACCTTCGTCAATTTCTCCTCCAAGTATGCCATCGAGAGTATCACATATAATGGACACTCAGGTACTCCTCGCAATACTAAAATATAAAAGTCTCAAGATTATTTAAACAATAATTATATATTATATAAATACTATATACATTTTTCCTCAATCTTTGCCTTAGTGCAATGCAACATAGTGGAGAATGAAACAGAAGTGAGTGGAGGTGGACTTGATGGTCAATATTCGGTGCTCCAGTTTCACTTCCACTGGGGTACAGAAACTGATGGAGGTTCAGAGCACACAGTAGATGACCATAGATTCAAAATGGAGGTAAGGTTCTGCAAAATTTTCAGTATTGTTCTGTTTATTTTTTATTTTTTGTTGCTTTCTTTCATCATTGCATTTGCACTGTTTTCCTTTGTAGATGCACATCGTCACTGCAAAAAAAGATATGACAGAAGAAGAGATTAATAGTCGTTCAGATGGACTTGCTGTTCTTGGTTTTTTTATAGAGGTATGTGACAAACTTTCTCCAGCTATCTATAATCACAATTTTGAGAGCTCCTAATCTAACATCAGAAATATTTATATAGGCATGAAATATAAAATTTATGCTAGCACATCTGATGATTTGACTCCCTTGAAACCAATGGCATAGATAGTTCTGTGACATTTCTGCTGTATTTGAGAAAATTTGTCTTATTAATTTGTATTTTATATAGTGTTGTATTGAAGACCACACTAACCAAATCCAAGGAGTACCGAAACCAAGACATTGTCTTGTCCTCTAAAGGGTTGGTCTTTTCTTGTTCTTGGCCTCGGAAGGTCTCAGCCTTATCTCGGTACTCCTTGATCTTGGTTGGTACAGTATGGCCTTGACTACAACACTAATTTTCAAGAGACAATCTGTGGGTTTCAGGTCTATCTGATGTCATTAGATCAAAATTCTAAAATCCAGTCAATTAAATGCAGCAAGAGTTAGAATTTGCCCATTTGCTTAAGATGTTGGGAGGCACTCGGCATTGCACAGAGATCCAGGATATGCTAGGCCATGAGGACTGATTACTTAAAGCTCTCTTCACACTATTATCAAAGTTTAGCTACTGACTCTGTAGAAAAGTGCTAACCAATGCGTTATATGACGCTAGGCATTTATTGACCTGCAACTTTCTGCATACATAGCTCTTTGTTACAAAACTACTAACAGTTAACTGTGGGGAAAAAAATATTTCAGAATGGGACTTATGGCACAAGAGGAATCGAATCATGGTGCCAGGCTAAAAGTCTGCATGCCTAGGTGCTTATTCTGCACTGCGTACAGATACACATTTGCCAAAGTCAGCCCTGAGTCAATATGACATACACTCGCTTCAAGTTCATCATGTAAAAACACAGCTTTTTAAATATGCACAGAAAGAAATATAAACTTAGTATTTACCCTTTTTTTTTACTCTAGAGAGAGGCTAAGAAAAACATTTCAATCTATAAATCTTACACTAATTGATCTATTTCAGGAAAATGAAGACAAAGCCATATCTGAGCCATGGCAAGTGCTTACATCCTACTTGGAAATAATTGAAGGTAAGGATGATTCCTTTGTTGCACTGTTGCACTTTGTGCCCACATGTGTCTATTTAGATTTGGATATTTATCTGACATTCTATGTTTTTAAACTCTCATTAACATGAGATAATCATCTGATTTCCTTTAAATTTTACAGAAGAGGGCTCTACAGTGAATCTAAACCACAAAATCTCTATCGATGATCTAATTGGGGATGTGGACCGTTCAAAGTACTATCGATACAATGGATCTTTGACTACACCAAACTGCAGTGAGATTGTTGTGTGGACGGTCTTTCATGAGCCGATCTTAGTCCACAAAGATCTGGTAAGTCCACTTCTCAGCCAACACAGAGGGCACATTCTATATGAACCTGCACTTGTGTAAGCTTGGAGACAAGATGCTGGACGGGTCTTATATTAGCAGGATTGATTCATATCTATCAATTGATCCGGATCCAAGTCATTCCAAGCAGCTGAACCTGTAACTGACCTCTAGTGACAACATCTTTTATATAAGCAGCTACTGATGCGTTCAAGCACATACCTGGTAGGCCCTGGCAGACATACCTGTGTCTACCAGCGTCTGCTTTAATTGTTCTGTTGTTGGCTGTATAAACATATAAACACGTTGTGCACTCCACATGTGAATCGAAAAGAGAAACTCAAAACAAATATAGAAGTATCTGAATGTTGCAATATGATAAACTTTTTAATCTAATCCACCTGACATCCAACTCAACTTGATGAGCTGCTCACGTTTCAGCCTCTGGTATTTGCTTGATAGTTTCATTGTGCCGCAGGTGCGTGGCCACAGCTGTTAAAATCTTGTTGATTAATGTGGTGCTATTGAACTCCTTTTTATATTATTTCTTTATTTTCTAAGATCAAATATACATGTATATTTTTATTCAGAATAAAGCATAGCATCATTATAGCTTTTAAACAACAAATTCTCATTGATTGCCCTTATCAATTCATCTTTTGATAAACTAATCTTTTTTAAAAACTGAAAAAAATAAAACAATATCTCAGTGGCTACATTTATGTGATGGAGATATAAGCCGGCTGTAAGTAATATGCCTTATAAGTGCACTTGTGTCCGCATTGGCTTAAGTAAGTGCAAAACAAAAACATAAAAACAACTTAAAAAGCCCTTATATACAGTCGGTATTTTGAGAAGCTAAGTGACACGAGGAGCAATGTTTATTTTGCCACCACCTACAGAGAAATAAAAGGTAAGGGAGGTCAAAAAAAAGTTTCCATAGCTCACTGTAAGAAAAAAATGCTGCAATTTATTTTAGATGGAAATTATAATAGTGTATTTCATTAAAGGTTTGATAAAGGTATTTGTAAAAACTGGAGAGCCCAATGGCCTGAGTATGAATTGTCAGTAATAAAGACAAACCTACACAACACTAAATTCTAAAAAGCAGCATCAAGTAAATGCAATAGTTTAGAGAGCTGTGGAGTTTTTAGTCCTGATGGGTTTGAAAAGCTCGACTGTAAATAAAGGCTGACATAACCTCTTTGCAAGAGTTTAAGACTGATATTTGCTACCATAAATCACTATGACGAAGTAAACTTGTTTTTTCAGCTTAACCATTTTCCCAAGAAGACAAACCTCACAAATAACTACCGACCTGTACAACCCCATCATGATCGACATATCACTGCCTCCCCTGGAACTCCTCTTCCTGAAGGTGAGTCAGAAAGTAACTGACTTACATGTAAGGTGAGTAGGTTACAGTCACAAGTATGTTCTTTAATTATCAAACATTGCAACACATAATAAAAAATAAATAAAAAATCATTCGTATTTGGTATAGTGTTGGGAAATAAACACATCGCCAGCATGTAAAGGAAATTATTAATGGCAGTATTGCATTATGCAACATTACGTGGAAGGACATTTTTCAATATGTCTTTGTGACCCTTTAATGAACAGATGTGGCTAAAATCTAAAGGTGAAATCAGAGGCTTCAATCAAACATACACTTTGTTCAATTTTTCCACTAAGAACAGGTATCTTGTTTTAAAGGTGTTATGCTAAAATATAGAAATCAAGAAAAATAAGGAAGCAAAAAGAAAGAATCGTGAAAGGCTGCAACCACTCGTTAAATCTAAGCAGCATTAAAAGGCAGCAGCCGCCAATATTGTTCTTCCAAAGAAAAGCTTAATTAAAAAATGTCCTTACCTTCTTACCAGTTTGACTGTTGCAGAGATAAGCTGAACGTCAACTTCCTCTTCATCTGAACGTACAGCGTAGTCAGCTGTACGTCTGAAGTCTTAGTAAAGCAGAAGTAAAGAACCTGTAAAAGTCTGCTTCCATAAATCCTTTGCTGACCATACATTAAGAGAGCTGTTGTGGTTTTAGTTACTTTTCAAGGTAAAAGTAAAAACATTTTAAATGTTTCCACAGTTTTGCTGTCATTGTGGGCTGTGTACCAGATTGTTACACAACAAAACAAACATTAGTTACAGGGAAGTGTTTCAGCCTTTTGATAAAAAAGTGGTCTTGCTTAGAGCCTTGATATTGGCTATCAAAGTGTTTCTAAAGACTTCTAGGCCTTGATGTTACCACTAGCTTCAACAACACACATTTATAGATATTTATAATTGGCTCCTTCAGTGCATGGAAATTGTAAAAGGTATCAATACTCTCATCAAAGTTTAAATAATATTGAATGATGACTGTTTTTAAATGCTTTAGTAGAAAACATCTAATTTTATTGGGTTAAAGAAATATTTTCCAAAATAAAAATTTTTAACAAGAATGACTCCTTATGCTCAGAAAATGGTGTCATAACATGAAGCTTATCAAGCAGTTTTTATATTTGTTTTATAATAGATTAAGCTGAATTTGCTCACATTAAATATGTGTTCTTTTCATCTTTAGGTCATAAGTGGTGCTATGATGACCACTGTGGTATGTAGCAGCTACTTCAGACATATTTTTAAACTGTTATCCTTTACAGACAGACATTTTGATTCTTTTGAAATGTTTTAACTGCAGATCACAGCCCAGCTCATTGGTCTGCGCTGCCTGGGTCCCACTGTGATGGTGAAAGCCAGTCCCCCATTGACATTGAAACTTCCAGCGTTACTGAGGACGAGAGCCTCGGTTCCTTTAATTTTACTCATTTTGATGACAAACACGCAATAAAGTCTATCACCAATACAGGCCACACAGGTTTGTGTTTATTGCAGAATTTCAAATGTAGATAATAAAATAAGTAAAATAGATAGTTTAGGTTTTTATAAAGTGTGTTTTAAAAGTGATTAATATTGAGTATATCACTACTAAAGTGTTGATGTTTCATAGAAATCCAAAGTAGTTGGACCCTTGGCTGAAGCTACATGCTAGTTCAAGAGAGGAAAAAGCAAAACGGACTCCTACATTCTTAGAATAAATCCAGTCTAAAAATATCAAAGGAATTTATATAAACACTACTTTATAAATCTGTAAACAATTGTAATGGGTGATTGTTCACATGGAAGACTATAGTTACAAACATGTAAAATAAAAGTAGGAGGCATTTCACCACAAAAGATCTTCCTGTGTGATGTGGTGGTCTACTGAACAGATTAACTGTCTGTCCGAAAATTAAAGTGTTAAAAAAATAATGGAAGTAAAATTAAGATTGAATAAAACACTTCAGATTTTAACTTTCAGGTTTTCTAATCAGAACAGCTTTACATTTTTCCTTTTCAAAACTAGTTTCACACAGGAAGAGTATTGGTGGTGCACTGCCTCTTATCCTTAGACCCAATCCCAAACCGGCCCCTAATCACTAACCCTCCGTTTACGTGTTCCAGCGGAGGGTCCACCTTATTAACTGCCTTCCCAAACCCCATACTGGGTAGGGCCAGTGGACCATTCCCCCTTAAATAGCGAGTCTGCAATAGTTGCAGGCTTGCTGGAATTCAGCAACAGATGTAACAGCGGGCTGATGGCGGAGGAAACATGTTCCCCCAAATGTAAATGACAGAAACTGACAGAAAAAAATTACAAGTTAGCTTATGAAAAAAAAGTTACTAATTCCAAAATGGAATCTCCTCTTTGAAATAGTTTTATTTAACCATATACATTTGTTTTTTTAGAAAGTGGAGAATGTTTGGTATAAATGTCACTCTGCACGACAGAGCAACAGTTACGCACATGGGGTGCCTCTATGTTGTCACAGCAACGCCTGCTTTCCTTTTTCCATTCCAGGGAAGAAGCCTTCCCATTCTTTTTTATACCCTCACCACCTTCAATCTAGGCACTTTCCACAGCTGCCAGCATGACTTCATTGGGAAAGACACTTGATAGTTAAGGGTTAGTCCTTAGAGGGTGGATTGGGATTCAGCTTTAGTCCCTGCTGATAGCATTATCAGCTTCTTTGTAAATAACCCCTCATTTATAACAAAAATAGATTTGTAAAATAGTGTTTGCATAAACCGTCACAACTTTTATCAGATGGTAGAGGTCAGCTTCGGTTATGACCCCTCGCAGACTGCCCTAAACATTAGCCTACAAATTCAACTTCTCTAGATTTGCTAGATTTAGAGCTTGGATTAGTTATTAGAAGATTAGTTATGTGCTGATGATAACATTAGGAAAAATTGATAGAAATTAAAATCTTGAGAACCTTTAAGTTACTGCATTAAATGTTCTTTTAATCTTTCAGTGAAGTGCATACTAAAGGATGATGCAGTGGAAGTGTCAGGAGGGGGGTTGGAACATGTCTACTCAACTCTTCAGTTCCACTTTCACTGGGGCACAGAATCAGCCGATTCTCAGGGCTCAGAGCACACTGTGGATTCAAAAAGATACCCAATGGAGGTAAGGTGTAGGCCATGATGTTTTAAAATCAAACCAGAATCTATTATATGAACGTTTTATGTAATGAATGGCTTATTTTATCCAGATGCACATAGTAAACAAGAGGAAGGATTTAACACTGGAAGAGGCAGTAGGGACTGCTGATGGCCTGGCAGTGCTGGGTTTCTTTATTGAGGTAACGTCAACACAATAACTGTGACATGTAAGGCCCATTTGAACAGGAAAAGGAGCTCTAGTTGCGTTTTCTATAGCTTATCAGGGCTTATCACATTGGACATTTAGATTGAGCTTTATGTTTGTTTGCTAGTTGTAAAGAAGAAGAAATGTACCAATACTGACCTGACAGAAATGCCCTTTTGAAGGCCTACATATAATAAAAATATAAATTTGTCAGTTTCTCTTAACATACGTGCATTTGTTCTCTTGAATTGAGCAGGTAAGTGAGACAATTGAATAAGCCAATTTACTTAGTTGACATGCATAATATCTAATTATCTTATTTTAAGTATAAAAATGCTAATTCCATTGGCAAATCATCTTATTTTCTATTCAAATTAATGGTAAATATACATATTTTTACACATTTTTTCTCATTATAAGTTCATCAGACCTTCATCAGGGTGACAGCTTGTGCACAAAATAGTGGCACAACACCGTACCTGCCTTGTATACAGCACATAGCATTCTCTTTTGTTATCTGATTTCCAGTATGTTTCTTGCCTTTGGCAGAGTTTGCAGATAAAGATTGCAGTTACGGGAAGAGGAAACTGCATCTTTATTTTAAATTAAGATGCATTTTAAATAGTTTTAAATCAAGATTTAAATTCAAATCCATTAAGAAAAATAAGAAGACCATTTTAGGAAAGTCATTATTAAGGCCAAGTCAATTCTTTTCTTTTAAATTTTTTAATAGGGATAAAATGGATACAGTTTTTTCAAAGCTAGCTCACAAAACACAAGAATGTTTTATTTTCAAAAAAAGTGAAGAAATTTTTTTTCCTGCTTCATGCTAGAAATTTAGTTTTTTTTTATTTCCATTTTCAGCCCACAAACTCTGGCAAAAGTGACTCCCACTCACCTCCACCTGGCGCAGTGAGTCTTTAGTTTTATTTTTTCTATATTAAAATCATCATGTATGAGAATCACAATGCATAAAACCTTGAATAATTATTCTGCACATCTTTATGTGTAGGAGGAGCCCAACACAGGTTCAGAACATGACATGAAAGCCTGGAAAACGCTGACCGATTACCTGTCAGCTATCAAGAACATCAGTGAGTGAGCGTCTTCCTTGTTATGACACAGGAACAAAAGAACCACAGTATGAGCATTTATCCACCCATCTTCTGCATGTTTTACTTTAACACAGGTTCAGAAGTTGAGGTCACACATGAGATCTCTATCGATGACTTGCTTGGCCACGTAAACCGTGAATCATATTTTCGCTACAGTGGCTCCCTCACCACGCCTTTGTGCAACGAAGCAGTGGTTTGGACTGTCTTTAAAGAATCAATTAAAGTGGATCATGAACTGGTATGTTTCACTCATTAGCATTTGGCACCTCAAACACAAATATAGATACAAGGTTTTAGTAGTCAACACAAATCTTACTCATTTAAAGATATTTTTATAAAAATTTGACCTCTGACATGTTGCCGATAAATGTCTGGGCTAAACCCTAATTTTTAGAGAGTTATTAGCCTCCGTTTATCCACCTCATTTTAAATATCTGAGCATGGGTGCTATGTAGGGTTAAATATGTGTGGATCTTTTTTAGGCATTTGATTAAATTTTTTTGTGTTTTGACAATATGTTGGAAAATACATAAATCATCATTATACTTGATGAGCTAGTTGAAAGACATATCTCTTAATGGAGGTTTTGATCCACAGCAATCTGTGTAACAATTAAAGTACCAGCTGCCCTATTTTATTTAAAACGAGCGATTCACTTTAAATTAGCAATAAGCACAATTTAGCTTAACGAAATGACAAAAGATGCATTTCCATTTTATGGACTAATAATAATAATAATAATAATAATAATAATAAGAAGATTGATTCCTCCTGTGAAATTCATACGGATATCACATTATTTTTATTATGTTTATTTTCAATTTAGTTTATTTACATAGCGCAAATTAACAACATGCCATCTCAAGGCAGTTTACACCTCAACCGGATCATACGCTCAGATTGATTGCATTAACTCATTGACTCGAAGGCAATCCCTAAAACTGAGCATGCTTGTAGCGACAGTGGAGAGGGAAAACTCCCTTTTAACAGGAAGAAACCTCCAGCAGAACCAGACTCAGCGTGAGCAGCAATCTGCCAAGACCAACTGGGGTTCAAGGAGATAGAAGCAGACATGCAGAAAGAAGCAGAGATACAAAAGAAACTGTAAATCAAATACAACTCCCTTTATTGCATTGAGATCTTTTTAATTGTGTTTTGATATACATTTTGTGATCTATTGCTTCTTTCGTCTTTTTCGTCAGATATCAGTTTCAATTTTAGAATATGAAAAGAATTGTCAAAAGAAGAACACTCTGAATGTATGTGAGGATCCCGGTGTGCAGCTCACAGTCCAACCTGGCTTGATTAAACATTTTGTTAGTTTGGTCACCGGCTGCCTGCTTCACATAACAGTGATGTGAGGATCATTGCTGGCCAAACTTTATCATTTAACCCACATGTCACAACACAATTGTAGCATTACAACGAATTGAATCAACATAGCAGCACAAGTCTAACAGGATCGTAACGGCAACAAAAACAAAGATTTGACATCATGATATTCTCACCAGTCCATGAGGAGAACAGCTAGCTTCCCGTCAAACTAGAGCTGTTTCTACTCTCCGAGTGCTCTCCATCTTAAACTTCTTTGACAGAGACGGCAGTTCTTCTTTGGCAATAATGACTCCTGATTGTCTTAAGGTGAACGTGTTGATCCACTGGATGCACCGTATTCCATTTTGTCTGTTCATATGCATGTATGTGCACGCGTGGCCGGCCCAGCTATGTAAACAAGAGACTCAAAAACAACACAGAGAGATTGACTGTGAAATGTGACAATAGTTTATCTGAAAAGATACCTTTATTTCTTCACAAAACTATCTCATAAATCACTTTTTTATCTAAAATAATGATATTTTGCTTAATGCTTCTTTAAATCTATTATATGCATCGTTCTTTTAAGGAGTTAATGTATGTGCAGCAATTATAATGATGTTCAATGTGCATTTATTCATCGGAGGAAATTTTTGCAAACACAAGAAGACGACAATTTTCACCATTTAATACCAATGGGTAATAGGATTAAATTGTGTGCAAACATCCTGTAAAATTATTTTAAATTCTAATTATGTTTTTTTACCTCGTCGAGCAAAACTGAGAATTTAAAAAAATAGGAAAACATGAGTTTCTTTATACAGATAAAAAGTTTGACTATTTTGATCCAGCTATTTCCCTCAGCTGCTCAGGGATCGCCACCCCAAGTCAGTGCAGCCTACAAACCCTTAGCAGAGGTTGCAAGTCAGATTCCCGTCCTGATTCATTTCCAGAGTCCTCAGTATTAAAGAAACAAAATTACCCTTCTAAACGAAAAAGGGACTTTGGAAAACATAATTCATTTCTGCTTTATAGAAATGCACCTGTTCTGTGAAGGCCTCAGATGTTTTTCAGACATAATTAGTAATCAAAAAGAATGCTGAAGACCAAGGAAAACAGCAGGCAGTTCATGGATAAACAACAGAGACAGGGAAGCTTATCAGAGTTAATGGATGGAGCCACATACTGAAAGAAGATCTGTTAAAGTAGATTTCACATTGGAACAGAGGTTTTCCCTTCAGTTGGACATATAACATACTTACCATACAGTCAGAGATAAGGAATAGTTCAGCTTTAAGATAATTGATGTGTTAGTATTACCCAGCCAAAATATAGAAAATATATAGAGATTTTGTTAAAAATTTGTGGCAAGACCTGAACATTTCTGGGAGGTGGAAACAAATCTGACTGAGACAGAGTTATTTTTCTACTAGGATTGGGTTAAAAAACAACAACGGCAACAAATGCTTTATTGATGTGTACACTGGTAGAAACATAAAATGAAGGATGGGGCTGAACAAAATATATGCCACTGATTGAATATTTGTATTGAAAGCCATGCATCTTTTTAAACCCACTTTATAGTTGTGTTCTATATAATAGAATAAATTATAACATTAACCTTTCTAAGGCTTTGTATCAAAGCTTTCTGCAAAAAATATTTCATTCCTCAGCAAAAACCTTTATGATAAAGATACACTTATGGTCTCCTCTATAACCATAAAGACTGGAGCACTGATCTGTTAAGCTGCCAAAACTTTTGGACTTGACTGAATGTCCTTTTTTCGTAGTTTAGGCAATAAAACCTGAGTCCGATGCAGCAGGCATTATCCTTGATGTGCCTCTAAAAGTACTTAAAAGTGGTTTAGAAAGTCGCTGGATCAGCAGCGTCATTTACCTTCATAGACTCAGTTAATGCTAGAATTAGTCTGGAATCCATATTTTGCACGCATGGTTGCACATCACTGGTGTATAATGCAGAACTAGTACGTTAAATGACATTTCCAAATACTAACTAGAAAGCATTAGTGTTTACACTAACATTAACAAGCTGCAATGGCAGCTTTAAATCTTAAGTTTGTAAAACTGGAAAAAAACTATAATCCATGTGGATTGAATAAGTGCACTTTGAATGATATCCCATCAAATGACTTATAATGTTAAAAGCATTATTGTAAATCCCTTTTAAACCTTTTTTGAAGATATACACTCATACATGGCATTTGAAATACGAAGCTCAGAGGCTCTGCAAAATAAACCTGAGGAACTGCATGAAGAAAATGCTGAGTGACGCCTGACAGCCTGATTTATGTGGGGCTTAATGGAATGTGCGAGCGTAGCATAGCTAATCTTATGTGATGACTAACTATTTAGCTATTTAAACAAAAGGCACAGTTTATCAGCTGCAAAATGTCGGCGTCAGTAAAGGATGCTGGCGGCAGCCCTATCGCATATGAGGCATTGTCAAGAGCAGGATTAGCGAATTAGGTAAAAACTGATATAGATCATAGAGTGCAAAATTCAAAAAAACACCCTTTTTGACAATTCATGAGTTAAATTATTTGCTTTACGTTTTCACAAGTAAATTTAAAGAATATTTAGACCCTCAAAATGGAACTTAACATCTTCCTCTTAACGTGTTGTCCCTAAATGAATGCATAGATCCAAATTGGTGGGCCCTTGTGCTTTTAGTTAAATTATAGTAATCTGTTTAATCAGTTCCTCTCCGTGAGATCTTATCATTACCGAGCAATAGGACAAAACCCATCTGGCTGAAAATAATCTAATCTTGTGTATGATCTATAAGCAATGACGCGGCGGCAACCTCTCTGCATGTTGATGTCTCTTTTGTTAGATTTTTCCCCGTTAAACCAGTACAGGTACAGCACATGAACACGCGCTTGATCTTATCTTCATTTCTTTCTTTCTTTCAGGGAGGGATGATTCAGTCCGCAAATGAAGCGACTTTATCTTCAAAGATTTATGCGTTTGGATAGAAGTTCAGTTATCAAAACATAATACAGAGGTGGAAATCAGTGTTAAACGCAATGAATATATATATTTCTAATTAACCTATTGATATTTACAATAGATGTTAGTAATAACTAGATAATTCAAAACCAATTGCTACCTGTAGTGTAGTATGTAGTGATGACTAAATTACTGAAAATAATTAAATACTTGTTGGTAAAGACAACTTAAAGATATCTCCTATGTGAGGAAACTATGCTTAAAAGTTTTGTATTCTCCTTTATTGACTCTGGTCTTCAGCTCTTTGCAGATTTCCAATGGTAACCATGTATTACCTGCAGCGTTGGGACTAACAGTGGTGGAGGAAGTACGAAAAAGTAGTACTTGAGTGAAAGTATTGATACTCATGGTCAAATCTTACTTAACTACAAGTAAAAGTTTCTCAGTCAAACATCTAATCAAGTTAAAGTATTAAAGTAACCACTTTTGAAAACACTTCAGCATTCAAAAGTACATGCATTTAAAAGTATTCAAGTATACATTGTAATTTGTAAGTTTTCCACAATACAAATTTAATTTTGGAATATTACTGTAGTACATTTCTGTTTTCAGAGTAATTTTAAAGAAACTTGTAACTTTTAGAAACCCCTTGATGGATTTATGCGTAGAACCATCTGCTACTGATTCTGCAGCACCTGTGAAGAACTTCAGCATAAAAATGCCACAAAAAATAAATAAGGAGTTATTTTGATTGTTATTTCTGATTTAAAAACCAATCAAAAAGAGTTTCTCACATTTGTGAAACGTCATGCAAATCTCTAAAACAGTGATGTCCAGATTCACTCCTAAGGCTGTTATCCTCCATGTTGAAATTCCATTTTCAGAAAGAAAAACAGAAACAGCAAAGATAAGCTCAGACAAAAAAAACAGGTAACTAGCAGCTTCCTCGAAATCTAGTGGTGTAGAAAGTACTATATTTGACTTTAAAATGTAGCGAGTGAAAGTCATAAGTACCCGCTTTACTTAGGTAAAGATACTGAAAAAAGTACTTACGAAGTGTAATCAACTGGGGACTGATTAAGTTATTTAGTAATAAGTTAATAAATAAAATAAATAAATACCCAGGTATTAGTAATGCCTGTGTACAAGATAGGTAAGGCTTTTTTGTTTAATTATATTTCAAAGTATACATTTTATTTTTGTTAAATTGGTCGAAAAGTATTATTTTTCACCTTCATACCTATTTTATAGCCAACTGAAGGCTGACAAAAAAAAAAGCCCAAACATCTTATTTACCTTTATTATAAGGAACATCATCACATCTACACAATAATATTGCAACTCACTTGTCAAACCACACAAGTCAAAACAGTGCAGATTTTTGTTAAATTAGTTATTGAATTAATTAATAACAACCACTTTATATTCCATAATTTAACATCTAGTATAATTTAAAATTCCAACAACAGGAAAATTTGAAAAATTCTTCAAAACTTTAGATCATAAACCATAACTGCCTAGTTTCTTTTGCTAGTAACTTGTTACTTTCACTGAGGAGTAATAAAGTTATTAACTCAGAAATTTATTTTATGAAGAAAATATTAACCAGAACTAGTAACTTTTTAAGTAACTTGGCTAACTCTGGTGACCTGGAAATTCTAGTAACTTAATTTACTCTAAGATTCTCAAGCTGAGTTTAATGTTTAGCAAATAAATCCATAATTGTTTCATCCCAACAGTCTTGTCCTGATAATTTTTTATCTTTTCATGCTTACTGATATCTGACAGTATGATATTCTGGAAAACAGTCTTTCACCATTAAATTATTTTTTGAGGGTCATGTACATTTCAACTTAAAACAGTATGTGTGCAATGAGACAATACAATCCATACAACACTTGATTTGAAGAGCATGCTTTTATTTCAGCCATGTTTTACAGTGAGTGTGCTGAAGTGGCATACATTATTATTTTTATGCCAAAACTTCTGCAAGAGATTCAGAAGCTCCTGGCCACGTGTTTTGATTGTTTTAAATTCTATATGCCATGTCTGATGGGGAGCACCTGTAAGAATTGTTCAACTGCAAGATAATGCTCACTGGAATATTCAGAAATGTATAATTACCATAACAACTGCCATCCGTTTGAAACAATATTGTTTCAAAGGCTTCGGGTGAGTTGTTTTTCTTTTCTCATCATGAGAAACATTTGAAAAAGCCATTGATTAAGGCTGAACCATCACTGATGTCTTTTTTAACCAAATGTTTTTTCTATGCCTACTTGCCTGTTCTCCTTTTTGTCTGTATGCCGTTTTCCCAGTTTTGTTACAATTTATTAATTTAATGTCAAAGTGTAAAACAAGTTCAAAATGTAATGTAATGTAAATGTACCTTTAACTCTATCAGATGGCGATGTTCCCGAAACACGCAGGATATCACGACGTCTTCCGGCCCAGGCAGGCTCTTCATTCCAGGAAGGTCCTCACCACGGCTGCGGCTACTGTCCCAGGACCTGTCTTATTCTATCTGCTGTTGTCGTGTCTGTTTGCCCTCTTCAGTTAAGATCTGTTTGTAAAATAGAGTAGAAAACTGTATCTTAAAACAACTATTCTTGAAACATAATATACTAATAAAACCTAATGTAACGTTATCAGGGATGATGTTAGAATAATAATTGTTTTTATGCATCACCTTTATAAAAAGGTGTTCGAACTACAAAGCATTAGAGTTGGGACTTGATTTTAATTCTATATTTTGTTATATCTGCACACCTACAATTTATTTTTATGATTTTGTCATTTGCACAGTAAATAAAAACAGAAATAAATGCTAATAAATGTGAAGATTTTAGACTGTGAAAAGTTTTAAAATAAGCTACCTTTCTTTTATTCTTGTGTCTGTAACTCTGTAATTCTGATTATACCTTGTGTGTGTGCGTGTATATATATATATATATATATATATATATATATATATATATATTACAACCAGACATGGGGGATATACTTAACAGAAATTGCTGAATTCCCTGTTACTTTAATAAGTGCAATGTATTCTTATGACTTATAACCTTTAAATGTGTTCTTTGAAACGTGACTTCTTCCTTTTATTTTGGGTTATAGAACCCATTATTCTCTCGATTCATTGCACAACATATTAGGATGACAGCACAGACAGGGAATGTTTTGTTATAAGGACAGAACATTTAGGAACATAAGATCCACTGGGACAAAATTTTCATTCTGATATCTGAAACTTTCTACCATAAGTATATTTGACTCTGGATTTACTCCTTTATTAAACCAGATGGTAACAAAGACGAAACAACCTTAAGTCATTGAAGCCTTTTCTCAGCAAATATCAACAAAGCATTTTTATTATGCAAACAGTAAAAAGTGTGGCTATCTATACTTTATGGGAGTAATTATTTTTAGACAACTTTGTAGTTCTACTCCTTACATCTTAAAAATAGACTGAGTTTTGTTTTATTTAAGCACATTTTTGAGATGGCCTGTTGGTATTTAAAAAAAATAAAACATCAAAAATAATTAGAAGTTTAACAGACTGTATAGTTTAACAGACTGTATTCCTGGGATGTTTAACAAAACCATTGACATAGGAATTAAGTTTTACATATCTAGAAATGTTTACACAATATGTATTTTTCCTTAAAATGTTTTTATGACATCTGAAATATATTTACTTATAATCAAAATGATACAAATGCTGATTAGTAACAATAGGAATATGGAGATCTGAAATTAATTTCTATACATTAAAATTTTTATTCTAGAAGTGAAGAATGTCATTTTGACAATTTTTTTTTTTAGATATGTAAAATACATATTCAGTCAAACTAATGGATATCAAATGGCATGCCATGCTTGAATTGAGTTGATAAATGAATCTATTTAGATAAATATTGTCTGTCAGCAGGTGAGGATGAAGAATTAACACATTGCTCTACCTGGTAGGACCTATGCATCGTATCATTGGGTTCCTATTCATGTGGATTCTATCTTCTATTGTACAGTAAAAACTAAGTGTCTGTTTGCAGCCGCTTTGGATGTTAGCATTCACATAAATGGATGTTATTAGCGACCGTCAGTCCCATAAAATGGCTTCAGATTGTGCCTCCTACCTATCAGTAGGCTCAGTAGGCTGGTATCAGTGAATGAATCATAATTCTAACCCTAACATAGTTTCTTTTTACTAGCTGTTAATCTATTTATGTATAATCTGAAAATAATTTCTCTAGTTCTTCATGCATTGTAAAAAAAAGGAAAGGAAAAAAGATCCACGTCACAAACCAAAAACTAAAAATCTCATATTCTGTCAACTAAGTTGTTTTTAAATGCCACATTTATTCCATGTGAGTAAAGCATTTAATTCATTAGAAGTAAAACCTTAAAACATAGTTTGTTTTAAATGGGAACATTTTAAGTAAAGTAGACAAAAACTAAAGTAGGTAAATAGTAAATAAAACTTAGAGGGTTAGAGGCAGCCAAAGTTATTATTGATAAACTGCATGTTATCAACCATAAGAAACCTACTACAAGGTTTCACTACAGCCTGAAGCCATTCAATGGGACTGGTGCTGGTTGCCTTGCAATTTTATTTTTTCTAAAGGGTTGCAAGGGAAACAATAGTTTATATATATATATATATATATATATATATATATATATATATATATATATATATATATATATATATATATATAATTATATTCTTTTGTGAATTAATGCAGATCATTCTTAAAAAGATCCTTGTCAAAAGGAAAAGCAATATTTGTTTTTAAAACCTAATGTGTCTAACTGACCCAGTGAACATTTTTTTTATTGTGTTCACAAAACCATGACAAAGCTGTTCTGACTAAATCAGAAAATAAAACAACGTAAGGAGAGCAGAGACAGAGGACACACTGAACAAAGTTTACTGAACAAAACCTGCTCCCGACCAAGTTAGCTCTGGGGAGAATGTTTCAACTGTGATTGAAACAGAGGCTGAGAAAACTCTGTGAAATGAAAAAAATCTGTCTCCCTGATTTCAGGTTTAGAAAACTGTACGTTTTCAGTAAACCTGCTTTTTGGAATAAATCCCGAATTCCCAGTTAAAATGCTGAATGTTACAGTGCCTTGCAAAAACATTTACTCCCCTTGAACCTATTCTAATTTCATCCCATTACAACCACAAACAACAAAATGAGATTTAATACTCAAGCATAAAGTTTTTAATTTTAAAGGAAAGGAAAAATGCCTCATTGTTTTAAAATGTTTTTACAAGTTTGACATTCACTTCTACTCTCTCTACCAATAAATACTGTCAAGTGTATACAGAGCAAGGAATTAGATTGGTTTACATTGCTCAAATTAAAAAGTACAAACAATGACCACTCTATGTAAAAAAGCAAGTTTAAAAGGGCTAAGGATAGGATAAAAATCAGGATAAGAGTACAATTTACAAGTGTGCTTTTATTTTATGGTGACTAACTAAAAAAAATAATTTTTCTCTCTTAAATATTAAATAGTGTCATCTTGTTTTTATTCACATTGGATACCAAATGTTTTCTGAAAGAGAAGTGCTAGAGAAAAAAAGTGCATCATAAAGACCAACCAACAAACCAGGAAGGTCAGTAAGAAATTTCAAAACAGCATTAGGGGATGAAAAAAGCCCTGAATGCCTCCATAGCAGTCTGTTTAGCCCATCTTGTTAAAAGGGACCCATCTGTCAGGTAAAACAGGTTTCTAAGCCTTTGTAACAGTTTTTTTTTGTAGTGAAGCAGGAATTAATTGGTTTGTGAGCACATCCCAGGGGTAAGAAACCCCTAGAAGATCAACCTTATCTTTGTAAATGTGGCCTTCAATGGATGAAAATCAATCTCTTTAAAACCTTCAAACAACAATTTAAGTAATGCAGTTAATACATTATTCGTTTTCTTAGAACCAATATTACTGCTTTACTTTCAGTAGCAAATGCAAACCAAGAGTTTCATTGCATTCTTTTATAGCATGAACAAAGCACATTTTACCCATATTTTCAGCCAACAGCTACCGGTGAGCAAAACTCAAGGAATGGGAAAAAAATGTTGAAAACCAAATAAAAAAAGAAGAAGAAGAAAAAAAAAAAAAACGTTCTAAAAGAGTTTTAAAACTGACACCAGGCAGTTAAATTCATGCTCAAAGGAGGACTTTTCCATAAGTCTGGGCCACACAGATGACCTCAGAAAAGACCACAAACCTGTGATCAGTGACCTAAACGGAGGAATAATGGATTGTGGACTGAGTATGCCGTAAAAAAATAATAAAAAGGGAAGACAGGTGCAGAAGCAACAGGAGTCTGTAGTACAAAAGAGCCAATACAATACAGGATCTTACAGAGATCCTGTAATGTATTGTCCATCTGATCTAGGAAGTAGGTTGCTCTGCAGAATCTGTTGCAGAAAATAAAACGATGAGGATAGTGCACAATAGCTGCTTTGCACAAGCTGTCTGATGATTGTGGCAAAAAGTTGACAGTCTGGGGATTTTCCCTGGAGAAATGAAGCAGATCATCACATACAATTGATGTAGCCCAAAAAAGGGAGCTTTTTCCTCAAAGCTTTTTCCTCAAAGCTCTTAAAGGAAATCACAACCTTTTCAATGCATGTGCCATTGTCTAAACCCCCTTTGGTTTTATTGTTACAAAAAACAAAAACAAAAAACAGGTTAAGAATTTTTCCTAAATTCAAAGATGCAAAAGGAGAATTCAATCAGTAATGTGGTAACAGTTTTATGGTAGGTTTTGTATAGCACTTTTTGCAGATAAAAATAAATTACTTTACAGCTAAAACACATTACAACACAGAGATATAAAAATAAAACACAATAACGTCTATAAAACAGGTTACCCAGTTAAATCTTCATTCCATCCATTAGGGGGAACTATGATCTGCGATGATCTCACGACACACATACATTTTTTTAAAGACGTTTCCCAATGGAAAACAAGCAAGGACAACAGAGCAGTCTAAATATCATCTTAGTGAGCATTAGACTTTGATGTTTCTAAGATGATATTTCTTTGATTATTATGCCTGCATTCTGGTGTACCCTTTTGAAAGCTGGTGGATTTCGATTGGCTGGTTGTCAGATTGCCCTGGCACTAAACAGTCATCATATGCCAGTAACTTTTATAATCAGAGTTACTTCCTTGATATATTAACTTTTAAACACTTGATTTACGTGTCTTGCCAAAAGCAGGCTGAGGAAGGTGTGAAAGAAAAACAATAAAGCAATTTATTTGTTTAGCTTTTTCCTTGTTATAATCCTCCCTAACATTGCAGTGTTTTATGTTTTATTTTTGTACATCCCAGCCTCACAAACTGTGAATCATGCTTTCACCTCAACCCCAACAAGGAAATTCTAAGTAAATGAGACTCAAAAAAAGTAAGACTATTGCCACTAGACTAAATTTCAGACACATTCTAACATCTACGCCTGCAATAATGCACAAGTATAAGATCACTTGATAAAGTTTGTCCAGAATTGTATAAGGTATGAAAGACTTCTGTGCTATGTGCAGCCAGGCACATATTATTAGGAATATATTTAATACATTGAGTGAAAACGTAATGTCTTTGCAATTTCCTTTTTTAAATCTGAAAAATAAATAATCCTTAGACATATCATCAACAATGTATGCCTAGTTTAAGGCACAAATTCTTGTACATATCTTGATTTGCTCTCCTTTCGTTCCTCCTAGAGCAGTTTTTAAAAAGTCTTTTTTTCAGTATTGGAATATTTCTTGAATAATGTATTTTGATTTTCATAACTTTATTATTGCAGTTACTCCTTTTATTTCTATACTTCCCAGTAGATTTATCAGTCAAGGTTGCCATTGAAAGTTTTTTAAAGTTTCCCCAAAGTTATATCTTAGAAAAAGTAGTGTGTAAA